GCACTTTTCCCCATAAATATAGTATGCCTTCAAACTGTATTTTTCATATATATATATATATATATATATATATATATATATATATATATATATTATAAACTTCTATATTGGAACGTGTATGTTACCACGAAAAAAATGCCTATTTATTTTGATGTCTAAAGGTGTCTCATCAGGGGGTTAACGATGGCGGTATCATCACCATCCACCTGATGAGATGTTTTCAATGGTCCAATTTATAAGTTTATACAGTGTAACCAGAATATAAGAGACCCGGATATAAGAGAAACCCGGATATTAGAGAGATTTTCTCTGGTTCCAAATTAGAGCCTGTGTTAATGTATATAAAATAGACCAAACCCGGATATAAGAGAAACTCGGATATAAGAGACTTCTTCTCCGGTCCCGACAACTCTCTTATATCCGGGTTACACTGTAATAAACATTTATTCATCTACTCTTGTAATGAGCCCTTGTTTAAAATAATATGAACGTTTGGATTTATATTCTTTTCGTTGTGTTATATATATATATATATATATATATATATATATATATATATATATATATATATATATATATATATATATATATATATATATATATATATATATATATATATATATATATATATATATATATATAGGTAAATATACTCTGTTTGAAAAAAAACCTTCGAATCTTTGATTTGCCAATAATCAAATCAATCTCGAGGGAAAAAGATTTTAAAAAAGAAAGAGCCAGGAACATGAAAGTCCGTCGAAAAAATCGCACAGATGCAGGTTCAAAGCCCAAAGAAAAAACCCTGACGCGAGTAAACAACTAACTAACAAAAGAGCTCAATACAACCGTAGAGCAGACCTAGATAAACCTAGTGAGCTGGCTTCCCTGATGGTCTGCTTAGGCAGGTTTGTCTGGTTTCTATATATATATATATATATATATATATATATATATATATATATATATATATATATATATATATATATATATATATATATATATATATGAGAAATGAATAGCCACGTGCATGTCACCGAGAGTTTAAATGGTGACATATATATATATATATATATATATATATATATATATATATATATATATATATATATATATATATATATATATATATATATATATATATATATATATAGGGGTGCATATGTATAGGTATGTGTGTGTGCATAGTATATTAAATGATGTAAATTTGTTGTTGAAGCTTTTCATCGTGGTTGTTTTCTTTTCAGAATATTTATTTATTGATTTCCTGCTCTATCATTTTTTTTTTCAAATATTTTATCTTGTTTACACATTTTTCATAAAGATTCTGTTGTATTGACAACAGATTTTCTCTTTCTTTTTTTTTTTCTTTCTTGTTTTTCTTCTTTTACTTCTGGCGATACAAAGCTTTTATTTCTAATCTCCCAAGGAAAGATCCACACCTTCTTTCTTTCTTTCTTTCTTTCTTTCTTACGTTTTTATTTTTTATTTTAACATCTTTTTGTTTCTTATTTTTCTCTTTCATTTCGTCCTTTTCTTCTTTCCTTCTTTCTTTCTTTCTTTCTTTCTTTCTTTCTTACGTTTTTTATTTTTTATTTTAAAATCTTTTTGTTTTTTATTTTTCTCTTTTATTTCGTCCTTTCTTTCTTTCTTTCTTTCTTACGTTTTTTATTTTTGATTTGAAAATCTTTTTGTTTTTTATTTTTCTCTTTCATTTCGTCCTTTCTTTCTTTCTTTCTTTCTTTCTTTCTTTCTTTCTTACGTTTTTTATTTTAAAATCTTTTTGTTTTTCATTTTTCTCTTTCCTCCCGTTCTTTCTTTCTTTCTTTTTTTCGTTCTTTCTTTCTGTTTTTATATCTCTTTTCGGTTTCTGTTTTTTTTTTTCTTTCCTTCCTTTTTTCTCATATTCTTTCTTGTTTCTATCTCTTTTCTTTTTTTCTCAATTATTTTTCTTCCTTTTATTTTTCTTCTTCTTTCACTTATTCATTTTCATTCTCTTTCTTTTTTTTCTTTTTCTCTTCTTTCTTTCTTTTCTTTTTCTCTTTTTCTTTCTTTTCTTTTTCTCTTCTTTCTTTCTTTTCTTTTTCTCTTCTTCCTTCTTTTCTTTTTCTCTTCTTGCTTTCTTTCTTTTGTTCATGTCTTTCTTTCTCTATTTCTTTGTTCATTTTAGTTCATTTTTTTGTTATCCATTCTGTCCTTTTCTTTCTTCCTTATCCTCTTATTTTTCTTTTTCTTTCTCTTCTCCTACTTTCTATTTTATTCAATTCTTTTTCTATCTTTTTTCTTCCTTTTATTTTTCTTCATGTTTACATCATTTATTTTCTCTTCCTTTTTTTGCCATTTCTTTCTTTTGTCCTTTCTTTTCTTCTTCTTTCTTTCTTTTGTTCATATCTTTCTTCCCTCTTTCTTTGTTTATTTCTTAATTCCTTTTTCTTCTTTTTTGTCTACTCCCCTGTTTTCCCTCTTCCTTACTTTTTCTTTTCTTTCCCCTTTTTCTATTTTAATGAATTCCTTCTTTTTCTTTCGTTTTTCTCCCCTTTATTTTAGTTCTTGTTTACGTTATTCATTTTTATTCTCTCCTTTCTTTCTTTCTTTCTTTCTTTCTTTCTTTCTTTCTTTCTTCAGCTCTTCTAGTTTTCTTTCTTTCTTCTTCATTTCTAAACAACCTTTTCATTTCTCAACCCTTTTCATCGCACTCTACCGTTTTCAACATTTCCGCGTTTTACTTATTAATTATGTATCCTTTTTTTGTTACAAATTTTGTATAAATTTGTCTTTATTTTTATTTTTCCCTTTTACGCTACAAAACTCTTCACATCATCATTCGGCAGCTTGTAATGTGGCTTTCCTATACATCTTTAGTTTTTGTTCGAATCTCTTCAAATATCTATTTACTTTACGTTTAAAATAGGTTGTTTTTTATGCTTTCGTCATTTCCGCTTTAATGCGTGTCTCTTGTTGATTTCTTTATTTATCCTTTTTCCGTCTGTTCATTTAGTTCTTTATTGTCCGCCATTTTTTTGTTAATTTTTTTTCTTCTTAATTCACTATCTTTTGTCTGTATACTTCATCTTTTTAAAAGATGGACACTTCGTATATTATTTTTTCTTTTTTAGCTTCATTTTATTCTTTATTTTTATTATTATTTTTTAGATTTTCTCTTCGGCGTCTCTTTCTTCGTTTCCTTTTCCTTTTTCTTTTCCATAATGTTTACTTCTTAATTCACTTTCAGATTTATACACGTTTCAATTGTATTTGCTTCTTTCTTTCTTTTTTTCTTTCTTTCTTTCTTTTTTCTTTCTTTCTTTCTTTCTTTCTTTCTTTCTTCTTTCTTTCTTTCTTTCTTTCTTAAGTGTTTTTCTTTCTCACCCTTTTCCTTGTTTTTGTTCTTCCATTCGTTCCTTTCTTTTCTTTTCTTTTCTTTTCTTTTCTTTCTTTCTTTCTTTTAACGATGTTCCTTTACTTTCTCTTTCTTTAATCTAATTTCTTGATTTTTTTACTTTTTTCTTTGACGTTTCCGTTCGTTTTAGTTTTCGTTACTGTGTTTCGTTTACTTTCTTTCTTTTTACTTCTTATTTATTTATTTATTTCTTCCTCGTTCTTAAGTTCATTGTTTGATGCTCACATTCGCTTATCCTTTCGTCTTTTGTGCTTTCGTCCGTTTGTTTTCTTTTTTGTTTGTTTGTTTGCCTCTTTCTTTCTTTCTTTCTTTCTTTCTTTCTTTCTTTCTTTACACATCATAGCCATTTCTCCTTTTGCCGTTCTTCCTTTTTCATTTTTCCTCATTCTATTCTATAATTTTTCTTCGATGTTCGATTTCGTTCATCCTTTCGTCTTTTGTGCTCCCGTTTGTTCTTAGGTTTCATTTCATTTTCTCTCTTTCGTTCTTTCTTCCGGTCTTTCTTTCTTTCTTTCTTTCTTTCGTTCTTTCTTTCGTTCTTTCTTTCGTCCTTTCTTTCTTTCTTTCTTTCTTTCTTTCTTTCTTTCGTTCGTTCTTTCTTTCGTTCGTTCGTTCGTTCGTTCTTTCTTTCTTTCTTTCTATCTTTCGTTCGTTCTTTCTTTCGTTCTTTCTTTCTTTCTTTCTTTCGTTCGTCCTTTCTTTCTTTTTTCTTTCTTTTTTCTTTCTTTCTTTTTAGCTTCCTTTATTTTTTCTCTCCTTCTTCCTTCCTTCCTTTCTTTTCTTCTTTTTTCTTTTCTTCTTTTTTCTTTTCTTCTATAACAGTAAAAAAAAAAAAACTATTTCTGTATTCTTCTTACATTGTCTTAAAATCGCCCTTTATACATACACACCGACCCACATATATGTACATATACGCACCCAGTTACATGTACACACCAATGTAATACAATTATATACTTATTATTTAATAAGACCTGTCATTTAATAAATATGCTTCCGTTTACTATTAATTTACTATAAAATACACAATGAATTCGCAATTCTTCGTATTCCAGAATCTTACGAATTGCCAGCTTCAAAAAGAAAATGTCTTTGTTCACCACTATACCTCTTCTCTTCTCTGTCAGTTGTCATGGCATCCGTTTTTTTTTTTTTTTTTTTTTTTTGGCAAGACATTTTGTGACGAGACAGATCACATATAGAATAATTTGAGATTTTTATATGTTTAGTTCTTTAATTCATCAAAGAACAGAAGCAGTAATTATCTTAAATCTGTAACCAATTTCAAATACAGCTGCTGTAAAACTATGGAAAAAGATTTATTTATTTGTTCTATTAAGAGTAGAGACATCTCTTAAGTGAAATGTCAATGTTTGATAAATGGTTAGTACTCGATTTCATATAAGGCTTTGCTTCAATTCAGCTTAAATTTAACGAAGGATCATCAATTGAGAGTCGAACTCACTACAATAGCAATGGTCAGTGACATTGGCTTGCTAACTGTAATCAAAATGTTAATATTAGCTGTTTCTTTATAAGCCTAAGACAGATGTTGATAAGGGTCTTGATATTAATTTTCCTGAAAACATTACTACAAAATTTTATCTATCGTGAAATGAAGGTTCTTGCGTCAGTCTAATTAGGGTAGGTTTAAAAACTCATTCCAGCACAGTGAGAAAGAGGCTTTAGCCGTGATGCGAGATTAGAATCAATAACCTTTGCAGATACTTTTATTTATTTTATAAAGTGTCTCTAAGTATATAGATATGGCAAAATTAAACTCGATTTAATACTAATAAAGTAAACACCGATCTCTTTCTTATCCTTGCGGAACTAGAGTAGATGTCACGTCATCTTCTAGCATGTTTTCACTAACATCCTCATCATACGACGAGCTGACGATCCTACGACTATCTAAAAAATGGCGAACCCCACCATTGCATGGGACTGATTATTTACCGCCATTCGGTTGTCCTTTTGAGAGTACAGTGGGAGGCTTTACAGTTCATCCTCTATTTGAACAAATAGAGGTCCTTCCTCTTCTTCATAAGTACTGTGCATGTATCTCTCCATCCATAATTTGATATAGCTCTCTGAGACAAAGATTTTTCCGCATGCTCTGATCTAGGTGATATATTTTATCAAAATATCGGTGAGCCATAGTCTTGAATGTAAAGTGATGTTACTAAAATGCCACTGTCGCTTAGTCCATGGTAGGCTCCCAGAAATGTTTGACATGAAGCACATCTTTCAACAATTACGAACGAAAGACGGTATCCAGATCACTTAGTAATCCTGGGTATAAACTACATCCGGTAGCAAGGCCTCTGATCAGGAAATTAGAGGTTTTGAAAAGCGTGGTACCACCTGTCAATTGCAGTTGTCTTCAGATTCACTCTAATCCAGTGTGATAGCACCTCTTAAGTACCCAGCTATGGGCAAATAGTGAACCTCCAAACAAAAGCAAAACATTAAGGAAGTATGAAAATACATTTTTATAGTAAAAATAGCAGTAATACACACACACACACACACACACACATATATATATATATATAAAACTTACCAACAATACATTTTATCTGTAGTTGATGGCATACAATTCTGTTCAAAATATATTTAGTTGAAGCCATGCAGTTGTGTTCAAAATATTTGACTTTCGGCATTAAATAACCCATAGAGGTGTTGATATGTCGCTAAACAAAATAACCCACCTAACCAACCAACCATATCCCTTGGCACCTTATTCCCTTTTCACTCGTTCTCCTCGTTATCCTTTTCAGCACTCTGATAATTTCAACTGCAGCCCCAAACATAATCTCCTTCTATAGGAGAAATATGGAGATTGAACATGGAACCGGCTATGAGTCATGTTCTTAAATAGTCATGTCAGATATGTTAGACATTTTGACGGTCGTTTCGAGTATAGAATCCAGAGGTTAGCAGTGAATATTTCGGAACAAGTAGGAAAGCGTAGTTCTTCCTTCTGTCACCTTCGCCGGACAAGTTGGCACTGGTCATTCGGGTAGGTTAAACAAAAATGGCCGCCTTTATACACGACGGATACAATGTTCTGTGGCTTCTAATTGGTTAATCTTCTATTGGTAGACTATAAAGGGAATTAAGTCATTTTGACTAACTCACTAGTTACATACATATACACAAAAAACTGTAACAAGATAATGGTATCAAACTCGTTCAGAAATATATAAAATGGCCAACTGTAAACAACCGCATGCATGATCAATGGTTAAAAATGGCATCCCCCCAAAAAAAACAACAAGAAAAAAAAACAAATAAAAAAAACAGCGAGTGAAGTCTGTAGAATTTTGGGGAGGACCATTCTTCCTCGGACCTCTTGGGATGGCGCTAAAAAAATCACGAACAAAGATCTATACCAGAAAGCAGAAATCATACCACTTGAGAACTTTCAACAGTTAAAATGAATAGCATGCATAACCCAAAGAGAGATAAATGACATAATCAATACGTTGACTTTCCACACTCCTTCAAACAAAAGGTTAGGTAGGAAACCTCCATCAATACTGGAAAGAGCACTTTAAGATACAGAACTTGAGAAATCTATTTTCCTGAAAAGTTTTTTCAAGAGAAATGTTTTATAAATTTCAATTAGAAGTAGCACTGGCTGCACCTTTCAATGAATGCCGAATGTTTCCTTATAAGGAAACAGTTACTATTGCTAGTAGCATTTTCTGTCTAGCTCAAAAATGATACAACCACTTCTCAGTCTGTGTCTTCTTTGTCGGCGGTTAAATTGACTATATTATCTACAGGAGGTAAGATCTCCACCGAAAAGAGGCGACCTCTCAAGTAAATTCTTATATAGTCAAATATAAGCAATTATAAGTATGTACTTATTCTCGAATCATATACATGTATGTTTACGCAAATATGAAAAAGGTAGTAGTAGGCATCTATTTACCGTTTGGCATAATGGTAGAGCCTGTTTCCTCAAAATTCAGTCTTTTTCTGTTCTCATCGGGTGGTGAATCTGGATTGACGTCTCTCGGGCGCATTTCTGGACGATGGTATGAAGCCATATTAACACCCTCTCGACCGTACCGACAAGATCCAAATGTAGTACAGAGTACTACATTTGATGCCGGCTTAGCTGCAGGAGTTACCGAAAGTTTGTCAACCGCTGTCGGATATTTGTCTAGAATTGCTTCCATAGTCTTTTCCGTATTTGGATATCGCCACGAGGCAGTGAAGGTTTAAAATCAGGGTATTTCTTCCCCTAGATGAAATGGAAATGTCATCCTGGACTGACTAGGTTCCATCTACTCGAAATGAAAATCAGAGTATGAATGTTGGTACCATTAGGGAAGGCCTGAATGATAGTTTTCCTCTCGCCATTGCTCAGTTGGGAAGACATTGTGGGACTGACACAAAACAATTCTAACCTGTTCTCTTTCTTTCAGTGATTCTTACGACAAATGATGTCAAGATGGCTAAAGGCCTTATCTGAAAAAACGAGAAAATGAAACTTAGTTTAATGGGGTTTTTTTTTCAGATATTAAACATTTGTGGGATGGAGAATTATCGCATTCTGTTACACGATTTGGACAATTTTGCTGTTATATATATATATATATATATTAAGTTATGAAAAACTTGATAATCCGTATGGGTAGTCCCAAGGAGGATGAAATCCTGAGAGCTCGATGTAAATCCAGAGTTAATAATTTAAAGAAAAACAGACCACTCTAAGGTTCCATTATAATAATTTATTTCACCAGAGCCCTTTTAATCGACGCTGGATCATCAGATAACACTTCCCAAAAATTAAACGAAAGATGAAATGAAAATTCACACTTTTGACGGGTAGTATTAAATTTATGTAATTTAACAGAGAGGGTAGCGAGGACTGGTGTGAGAGACATGGTCGAGTTTAGAGAGGGTTTATTTTAATATTTCTTTCAGTCATACTTAGTATTGGGGGAGGAGGGACCTGACTATGACCTATTTAAACGCTTAACTTAACGGAAGTAATATATTGAAATGGGAGGGGAGAAGAGAGAAAAAGAAAATCGAAAGAAGGGGGAAGTAAAGAGACAGAAGCTGTAATTAGGTTTTACGTAGGAAAAAAGGGGTGGTATATTTTGAGCAATTTATGTAAAAAATAGATTTTAATGTTTGATAGTAATTTAGATGTTCAAAAAAAAAAACCCCCACGAAGAAATTAATTTGATGCTTACTAGCAATTTAAATATTTAACTCTTTTACAAATAAATTAGAACCTTAAAGTGGTCTGTTTTTTTTTTTATATATATATATATATATATATATATATATATATATATATATATATATATATATATATTAATTGGTGCTGTATATAATATTATAAAAAGTAATCATCCAAAAGAATTAATTGGTAAACTTAATGTAATTAATGGCGAAATCACTTCGCTAACAATAATAATAATAGTTGGCCACTCATATTCGAGGGTACCTGTCTACTAGGGCGGCTAGACAATACATAATTCAGACTCTCGTTGAAGCACATTAGTGTTTTTTTTAATACGCACATCACCCGCATGTGGTTTATACAGCAATATGCTGAGCAGACCTTAGCTACAGGGAAAGAGCGTGTTATCTAACGTGTTCAACAATTTGAACAAGTCCAGCACGCTCAAACACTCGGCCACGATGACTTGTGACTTCGTGCTTGCACAGCTATCGACAGCACCCAAGGGTTCCGTCTACTCAATTTCACTCACAAGGCTTGGGTCACCCCGTGGTATGGTTTTCAGACACTTTCCAAATGTGTCGCACGGGAACGACCCCTCCAGTTT